GACACGTTAGACACGAGCGCCACCTGGCAGTTATCTTCGAAAACGAAGGCATGTGCGACCGCAGAGATAAATACGCGCCAGTCTCGGAGGTGATAAGGTCTAGAATGCAAAGCGACGGGCAAGTGCCACCACCGTGTTGTATCAAAGCGTTGGAAACACCTTCTAAGGCATCGCGTTGCACTGTAAGCGCAGCGCGATAAACGCTACAGTCTTTAGAGTTACTTGTGTGTGCCTCTTCTAGTATGAAGGCAGACATACAAAACATTGACGTGTTTTTATGGCGCCTCAGATATGCGCAATATTTGCTTTTTTAATTGACAGTTGCAAAACTATGAACGCTAAACCTTGAGCAATATTGGTGCGCACTGCGGATGGGGTTGGCCGTTTGGTGCCGCTTGAAATATTGTTAGGACGGACAAACAGACAAATGTACAGACAGACAGACCGACAGACAGACAGACCAAAATTTTTCCGTTGAAGGTCCCCAGGAAAGACTTTCTTTTTTAAAGCTCAACCATATGAAACAGACAAAACGTCACGTTGCCACAAAGATTTACAATCGCGCAACCCAGTGATCATCCGAGACGCGAAAGAGCACAAGCAGCCTCGTTCAGCGCGCCTTCAATACGAACAAGTTCTTTTTCACATTCGCTTCCCATTCGACAGTGGACGCTTCCCGTTGCGACTGGCTCAGTCAATTACTCAATCAAACGCTACCTTTGCGTCTACGTTGCATGGCAGTAAGTCCGACACTTTCGAACCGCCGTTACCGACAAATTCTGGACTTTTCACTAAAAGCCTTTCACAATGTCACCACTCTTCGGTAACACGCCATATCTAAACACTGAAAAAGAAAACACACAAGTAGTTACTAAAATAATTACTATTAGCGGTGATTACATACCAAAATCTTTTTCAAAACTAGAAACAACCCATAACAAAAATAGCTTAAAAACCCCGTAGTTATATCCTCTTAAGAGCTCACGGCTCAACTTCATCTTTGAGTTGCACGCGTGATGGTCCCGATCTGATGACTTTTCCTTTTGAACGGAGAATACGCAAGACGTAGAACCAACTTGTTCTACCGTTGAATCTCAATGCTGGCCGCTTTTTAACGCACTTTCTCGTTTTCTTTTTCTTGGAAGTTACCACCGCAAGAGTTGTCTTGCGCTGACACTTCATCTCAGCTCGACTCTTACGCCACTGAGTGGTGGGACTGCTTCCTTTCTAATTGCTTCCTACGATAGTGCGCGCCAGTTACCTTGACGTGTGACCCTTCTTTCACCTGATGCGCGCATCGGCAAGTGACTCATCGCGTTCCTGTTGCCCGTCGCGATAACTTCCACAAAATGGACCGACCCGCTCGCTGTACACATTACATTTCGCAGCAGAAATGCAACTTTTTAACTGTACCTGCTCTACAAGTAAAGAGTACTTAATCGTGTGCGGCTCCCTTGCTCGGCCGTCCTGTTTCTCCACTGTGTGCTGCACGGCATTAGCGCTAAGGATAGAACCTTGAGGCACATGATCTGGCTCCCTGGTTGGTGAATACTGCTTCGGTCTCATTTCCCCTCTTGCACAGCTAATCTGCCTCGCATTAACATCCTTTAGATCATTAATTGGCTTTTGGCAGTGACGAAGAAGACATTTGTAGTCTGCGGGAGTGAGCAATACCGACTTACTAGTAGTTAGCTGATCAGTCACTGCGCATCGTAATTGCACAGACTGAGCAGCGCTTCCCGACGCGGTTGGAAGACTTAAAGTTACATACAGCAGACCTGCGGTAATACCATGCCCATAAGCGTATGTTAGCCTTATTGTGCCACTGCTCTGACCCATAATTTCAGTGGGCACTTTATTAGCGCGTACCACCGCGATATCCGCACCTGAGTCAACGCATGCGAAACAGGGCTTGTTTCCCACGAAAATCTTAATCTGTGGATCTCCTATCAGCGAGTTTTTTATGGCAGCAGACAGTGACGACGGTGTGACTCGGCTCTCAAATGATCGCTTCTTCTCAGAGGCCACGCATGAAACTTCAGCTGTATTAGTAGCAGTATCACGGGAAAACTCGCAATTTCTTTTGAAAGTGGCCCCGTTTTCCGCAACGATAGCACGCTCCTGAATTAGTGCGGAAATTAGCACTAGCCGAAGGTTTGGCTGGTGCCCTATAATTTGAATTCGATGGATGTGTGGGCTTTAACGTCCCAAAACTACCATATAATTATGAGAGACGCCGTAGTGGAGGGCTCCGGAAATTTCTATCACCTGGGGATAATTCGAACTTCCTGATCCTGCATTGGGGTAGCTGCCCTGCCTGCCACTGCCGAGCCTATCTTCGAAATTGGTGGCTCCTTCTGCAATATCTCTGGGCCTCAACCAACCCTTTACTTCCTGCTGAGCTACAAGTGAAGAAAGATCATCTGGCATTAACTGTTTTAGCCTGTCAGCTATCAGAAACTCCTGAAGACCTTCAAATGTCTCCACTTCTCTACTTCCAACGTAGTAAGTGAACATGGTCTCAAGGCGCGCCGTCACATGGTTCCAAGACTCGCCTTCCTCTCTTTTGATTTTCACAAACATACGGCCGTACTCCCTTGGAGTCATCCGCAGTTCTTTCAACACTTGAGACTTCAAATCCGAGTACGGCATCACCCCAGCCTCTGCCTGATTGGCAACGAACGTACGCATAATTTCACACAAGAATGGTAATAGACTCGTGCGCTGAATTTCTTTGGGTATGCTCAATGCCAAAAAGAGAGCATCCACATGTTTGAACCAAGCAGGAATCATAGGCTTATTAGTAGGCATGGGTGCTAACACTGCATTCAGCTCTTTCGCGTACCGTGCGATACCAGAATGCTGGTTCCGGTTTTCCAACTCCTCTGACAAGGCACACGATGACTTCATTTTCTATAGCTCAAGCTTGAGCTTTAACACTTCAATCTCAAGCTGCAACTCGTGGGTGCGAACCGATTCACTAGATTGTCTCCTTGTATCACATCTCTATTTAAGTCCGCCATCTCCCACAGTGTGCATGAATGCAAGTGCATTCAGTAAAAAAAATGGGGCCTCGATAGTCCACAAATCAGGCGTCACCTTGCAGTGATGCGTCACCCGATGACCATGTTAGTTGGAACTGCGTCTGCCTCATCACCAGCGGTGGTAGCGACGAATTCTTCGGTGCTACGGGTGCTCGATCAGACCACCCCTGTCATTGTCTGAAGTCAGCCGCGCCGACTGTCCCTGCTGCTTGGCTCTCGTTTGCTGACGCGCAGCGCTATTCCACTGCACAACCTCTGGCTCCAACCTTGACCGGCAGGCTCGGACGGAATGCCAATGCTGCTTCTCGCAGCGCGCGAACGATTCCCAAAGCAGCGAACGTCTTGACCCTGCTCCTCGCCGTGCACAAGCAGGTCTCAAAAGCGGGGAGCGTCTTGTAACCTTCCCGGACTTCAGCACCTTCGTCGCTGCGGACTCTCCACTCTACGTCGACTGCGCCAGTTAATTTTCTCCTCCTCGACTAGCTTCTACACTAGCTAAGGAGGGAAGATGTTTCAGGTTCGGAATGGGTCCCCTCGATGACTCGAGTTCACGGTGGCAGCACGAAGGAAGAGCCGTAGTCCGGTGAAGAGACGCTTTATTGCAGCCTCAGGCGTCGTTTGCCCAAGTCCAAACCCAAACCTCCGCTCTTGAACCGTGTGAACGAAGGAGTCTCCTTCCTTTCTAGTGCTCGGGTCTTCCACGTTTGCCTTCGCGGAACCGATCAGATTCGTTAGTCGACGGGTCGGGGACTGACTCCGCGCTCTGCATCAGCCGCAATTATTGCGCTACACACAACACGCCGCTAATGGTTACCTCATACTAACTCCACCCATCTGTCGACGCCAGGGCGTAGCAACCTACTCTCTCGCCATGCCGCTTGTCGCCAACGTACTCGCCTAAATACCGAGGCAAGTCAGCAGCATAGGAAGACTCACTGCAATAAATTTTACCGCATCATCGAGTTTAATCCTGGAGACGGTGTGCTGCAATGGACCCTAGTGCAAGTCCCCGGCCTGTCCGAGAAGTTTCAGTAACGTTTTGTCGGCCCCTGTACTATTTTCGACCAAACTTTTTCAGTTAACTATCCATAACCCCCGCTGTCATGCCTTCCGGTAACCGTTGTCATGGCACGCAGGTTTTCCACGTTTCTCGATTAAAACCATTCGGAAGACGTACAGTATCAATTTTTATGAAAGGAAACAAGGCGACGCGTGGCCTGCGCCCTCCGGCGGCTGCTGGCAGCACGTTCAAGCGGGAGCGAGAGTAACCACAGTCTACTTTCGCGTCATCTCGCGGCGGGCAAAACATCCATTCGTTGCTGAAATAAAACGGCAAGATCGCAACCCCTTCACCTTCAAGGCGATTACCGGCTCTCGCGTAATTCCGTTAAGGAAGAGGCGTCGCAATCTTGCTGCTGGTTCCATCATCACCAACAAATTGTTTTGCTCGCCGCGAAATGGCGCGAAAAGAGACTGTTGTTGCTCTCGTTCCCGCTTGAATGCGCTGCCAGCAGCCGCCGGAGGCCGCAGGCCACGCGTCGCCTTGTTCCATTTCATAAAAATTGACACTGTACACCAGCATAAACGGCGGCCAGGTTGACCGCTTCTGTGCGAGGGAGAAATTAGTGGAAGCGAAGTATTCACTGCGTTTGTTCTTCATCTTCTTCGCTTGTACGTAATCATCACAACTGTGAGCCTCTTTTTGTCTGAAGAATCAGCCTGGTGGCTTCGCTGAATAAGCAGTGTCGAGATCACAAGATCGCTGCTGTCTTTCAAAATAAATAAATAAATAAATATATTGCATACCAAGGCCTAAAGAACTGAGGAAGCCATGGTTCCAAGACTAGGTAGCCCACTTCAGGGTAAAAACAGGCCTTCCTTGAAGCACAGTTTAAAGAATAAGCGTTTATTTTTCTCTGATATCGAGGTTTATGAAGATAGCTGTATTTTCTTCGAATAAAATATCAGTAGCCTTTAGGATGAATGTTCCGGGTAGTCACCGGACATAAGCAAAGTGTCTCGCTTCATATCTTGTAGCAGTTGGTTGTATACATTGTAACCGTCGGTTTCTCACCACCACAGATTTTATTGTAAAACGTTATGCAGGTCTTTTTGATATTATAAAAATATTGTTCTTTTTTTATTATATCGCCTTCCCAAATGTGGAGCTCGCATTGCATTGTACCTGGAAAATAAAGCAGCAAGAAGCGCGTGTGACATTTAGCCGATGATTTTCTACGCGAATTTGTGGTAATGCTGCTACTACGCTTTATTTTTGTATTTGGGAATGAAGACGTCATGACCATTCCAAACGGTAAAGACCCTCGCCTGTACAACCCCACACGCCAGAGTTCAACTCCTGTGTATATGCGACAACTACTCTATAGAATTGTCGGTGAGCCCTTCCAATTCGCTCTTTACCGATTATGGCACCCGTGTTTAGGCACCTTGTTTGCGATGGCTAAGGTAAGAAAATAAGGTCAAACCTTTCACAATATAGGAATTGCCGCAGAATGTTTGCATTAGCAGCCTTGATCTTTACTAATGCTCTAATCTAAGGGCTGCGTATTCTGGCTGTTTTTGAGTGTGTGTGTGTGTGTGTGCGAATTTCATTCAAACTCATTTGTTTTGAAAACGGTTGTCACTGCTGACGCGCTTTTTTTTATCAAATGTGACAACCGTTCCGCATTGTTGCAACTGTAGAAATGTCCGTCTAGTGTAACAAACTGACGGATGCGATCACTTTCTGTTTCTGTGGCTCTTGACGAATTGAGAAAAAAACATCGCACGTGTGGGATGCGCTGTATAAATAGCATGCAGCACCAATCCAGGGCATTATTTGCTGCTACCAACAAGCTACGTCTCTAGGTTACCAGTGAGAAACAAAGGGCTATGTTCGTCTAGGCTTGCCTCCCAGACATTATTCGAGTTTCAGCTCTATTAGACACTAAACTACGTACCATCAGGAGGATCTGCTAACGTTCAAATGCCAATTCGCCACCGTGAAGCCGCTGCTTCAGCACCCTATCTTGCGTTGGAAAATAATGAGGAAGACACGGATTGCAAAATTTTCTAACAGAATCTGGGATTATAAAGTTTATCCAACATTGAAAGTAAAAATGGAGAGAGTAGCAACACCACCTGAATCACTGACACATTATTCATCAAACATTCAAGAGGCTTCAACATTCACTGCCTTACGTCGGGATGACGCCGAAGAGCAGCTTGGCAGAGTTAAAAAAAATTGCTGTCATCAGAAATTTTAAGAACTAACTTCATGTGAAGCAGTCACCAAGTGTGTTTTATAACTCACCGACAGGAAATGTCAGTGTTAAAATAAAATACATATGATACGATTATTTTTCTGTTCTGGTCTTTGTCAGGAAAGAGTTGGTAGTGCTGGGATTACGTAATTATGCAAATTGTTTGATAGGCACATTGTGTATAAATGCGAAGCATTTCTTCGCGAAATTTGGCGACTTTGAGCGTATCTATCTATCTGTCTATCTGTCTAGCCGCCTACGACTTTTAGCTCTCCTGGCTGTTCCGATATTGGTATAAATAGCAAACTTGGTATAGCATGACATGACTGTATGAGTAACATATCTGACTAGTCATAATCTTAAACTCATGAGATGTATGTCATAAATGTCATTATTTGCATTTCATGGTGCTGCAGCTCTTGCGGTGGTTTCGTTCACATGGCATGTTGCAAAACTGGTATAGTATGGCATGACTGCTTGGCGAACGCCAGCGACAGACCCTAACATGAAAATCATGACATGCCTGTAGTGTAACAACATGACTACATGCCACACTCATGATGCGCTCGCGGTCGCTTCACTAGCGTCACATATATCAAATTTAGTATAACAGTATGTGAATGAATGACGAAGGTATGTAGCTGGTGCTAACATGAGATGCGTGTCCTGTAAGAACATTATTGAATACATGCCACGCTCGTGATGCGCTGGTGGCCGTTTCGCTAGCTTCACTTATACCAAACTCAGTATTACGTGACACGAACGGTGGACATAGGTAAATAACACCTACAAACATGATAATCATGACATGCGTGTCATGTAGGAACATGACTACATGCCAGACTGATGATGCCCTCACGGCCGTTTCGCTAGCTTAACATATGCCAAATTTGGTATTACGTGACACCAATAGATGACGAAGGTATGTGGCTTGTGCAAACATGATAATCATGAGATGCGCGTCGTTTGAAAACATGACTACACGCCACAGTCAAAGCGCCTATACAATTCCACGTAACGCGGTGCACGTGCTCACTGGCGTTCATTTCGTCACGTTTTGCCAGCGTTGCCACGCCAGGCGTCGATCCTGCCACACACTCGCTGGCGCGCGCCGCGCTGCGTTGCATTGACGCATGCGCGTTTCAACGCGTTTGGCGTCCCTCCGTCACTAGAAGAGAGAGACGCAGTGTTGTCTGGGTAACGCATAGGCGTGAAATGCAGCATGTCGCATTTCATGCTGGTCGCCGTCGGGCCGCGGAGGCGGACGCTGGTTGCGCCTGGCGTCAGACTATAGAGTGCTCGCGTTTTGCTAACGTAGCGTTGCTGTGCCAAGCGTACGCGCGCGTCAACGCTACATTGGAGTATACTGGGCCCTTCATGATGCGCTCGCGGTCGTTTAGCTAGCTCCACATATACCGAATTCGGTGTTACGTGAAGTCAATAGATGAGGAAATATATGACTGGTAAAAACATGATAATCCTGACAAGCGTGTAATGTAAGAACTTCACAACATACTTCGCTCATAGCGTACTTGCGGCGCTTTCACTAGCTCCACACATACTAAATTTGGTACCACGTGACGTGAATAGATGACGAACGTAAACGATTCATGATGATAAGGGGCGCGAAAAAACGACACACAACAGAGAAGAAGTACACGGGACGATGCATCGTCCCGTGTACTTCTTCTCTGTTGTGTGTCGTTTTTTCGCGCCCCTTATCATCATGAATCAGCACCAACTCGCCCAACTTTTTACTTTACTGAACGTAAACGACACATCCACACATGATGATCATAACACCAAAGTCATGTACGGCATCATTTACCTCCGCGTCGTAATGTTGTGCTGATTTCAAAGTGACATATGAACATTCTTCATTCGTGCTTCACATATCAGCGATTCCCACTATACGGGGGATTCGCCAAAGTTTTACTCGGCACTTATACCAGGCGCTGGTGCTTAGAGGTGTGCATATCGTATGGTACGTTGGCATATCGTATGGTACACGCAGCTTGCGTCGACGCTATTCGTAGTCATAAACATCTGCAGGTGCTGTTGGTGGGGGGGGGGGATAAACAACAAGAGGGAAGGCAGGGAGGTTAAGCAGGCACATGCCCGGTTTGCTACCCTACGACGGGGGAATAGGAAGGGGCATGAAGATTGAAGCGGTATGAGCCTTTGGACAGAAGATGAAGAAGCGCGAGAGCCGGGGCAGGAAAGAAGAGGAGGATGAAGTGAAAAATAAAGCAGATTAAGATGGACGCCAGTTCCATACTGAAGCTTTAATGCTGTTCCGTTATTTTAAGTAGGAACACTACAAAGATGAGAGAGAGAGAGGAAAGAGAAGATAAAGAGAGAGAAAGAAAAAAAAGGAGGATTGTCAGTCGATCGGCTGGCGCGTATGCAGCGGTGGCACTACACAAAAGTTAAAGGTGGTCACATAGGCCTGTAGTCCTCAAAAAGCACACGCCAGCTTTGACTGCTTTTTGAGCGAAAGGCGATGACGGTGTTCCAGTAGCATCTGCACAGAGAGTTGCCGATCGTCCAATTGTCGCAATGCGTCCGAAAAGCTTCTGTCTTTCAGAGGCAAATCGAGGGCAATGGCATATCAGATGGTCGATGTCTTCTTTGGTGCAGCAGACGTCGCATTCCGCATTGTCGGTCAATACGATGAGGGTTCTATATGCTTTTGTGAAGGCAACCCCCAACCAAAAGGCGACAAAGAAGTGAAGCTTCACGTCGACGAAGTCCGTATGGAGGTCGAAGTTCCAGTCGAGGGTTTATTTGGTATAGTCTCGTATGTCTTATGCTTGGGGTGTTCCACTCCTGCAGACTCAGACTACGTGCCAGGTGACGAAGTCGCTATGCAGCGTCAGTCCTTGACAAAGGAATCGGAAAGGTGTGTTCTTCTTGGTGCTATGTGCGAGCTGCGTTGCCTGCGGAATCATTGCCACTGATCCCACAATGGCCAGGAAGCCATTGAAACTTGACCTCGTGGCCTGTTTCCGTGACGTGGTGAACAAGCTGGACAACTTCGTAAGTTAATTGTTCATGGCAACCTCGTCGAAGGACTGACTGCATGCTCTGTAGGGCTGGTTTCGAGTCGGAAAACACAGCTCATTTACTCGGTCTTTGGTATTTGATGTACTTTAGGGCGCCACGCAAAGCCGCAAGTTCTGCCGCTGTGGACGTAGTGACATGTGACAGTTTGATTCGCAGAGTAATTCCTCTATCTAGAATCACCACCGCACCACCAGAACCAGACGCTGTTGTTGAACTATCGGTGTATATGTGCACGTGGTTGTTGTACATTTCGTGCAGATGGCTCAAGCTCAATTGCTTTAGGGCTGATGAAGGCAAGTTTGATTTTTTCTGTATTCCTGGAATTGAAACACGTACTAGTGAAAGTGTCAGGCACCACGGAGGATACACCAGTTTCTCAGCAGGCGTAAAACCTGACGTAAACGACGCACAATGAGCACAGACAATTGCACTAAATTTCGTGCGGGGCCTCTCAGTAGCGAGGGTTGCTAAGTGGTGGGAAGGATTCCTAGCATGTTGCCTGAGGTACGTACGCATTGTTTTCATGGTGATGCGCGTTATAATCGAGTAGTCCTGTGCAAACGCAATTGCTTCAGCTGTCGATGCGCAGCGGGGTAAACCAAGGCATATCCTAAGCGCTTGGGCTTGAATATTTTGGATTTTGTGCAGGTTCGTTTGGCACGTGTTAGATATAACAGGTAGACTATACCACAGGAATCCAGTAAATAATACCTGGTACAGCTGTGACATAGACCCGACAGACATTCCCCAACTTTTCCCAGCAAGAAACCTGAATAAGTGACAAATCACAGTCAGCCGCTTTTTCACGTAGTTTACGTGGGGTGTCCAAGACAGGTTTCGGTTGATTACGACTCCC